ACAACTTCCCCTCTCTCTCTCCTGAGTCTTCTGAGAAATGTTATGTGTCTGCCTGTCTGCAGAAAAAGTGTAAGGGATGATCTAAAAACATAGTCCACTAAAGTGTTACAATGACAAACCCCTGCGAGCTGTCTTTCATACATATGAGACAAAGAGAGTATGTGTGTATGTGTGTGTGTGAGGAAGAGAGGGAATGGTAAAAGGAGACAGGAAGACGCTAACACCCGGCTCTCACTTATTTTCCCTCTCTGAAGTAAGTGAAAATCTTTTTTGCTTGTCAGACTTGAGGGAGATCCGGGGTGAGAAAAAAAGAGACAGTGAGATGCCGGAGAAACGCACATGGAGGATAGGAAATAAAGAGGCTGTTTGATTGACAGCCAATACGCCTGCCTGTTTCCTGTCACACACATGATTGCTGACCCACCCCTCTGCCCGGCTGAGGCCTCCGGGTAGACAGGCCAAGATGGCAGCCCCATTTAAAGAATGAAGGATCATGAATGGGTGGACGCCTCCCAGGCCGCTCACTTTCTCTGAGCTGTATGCGTGTCTGCGTCAGAGTACTTACAGTAAGTGCATATTACATGTGAATGTGAATGTTAGATTCAGCATTTTACCCAGTTTCACCCTGTTACCATTAGCGTTAATCTCTAACTGTTAATCCCACCAGAATGACCACTGCAATTTGTTTGTTTAAGCATGTGTTGTCCAGCTGGATCCTGGTAACATAACCAACAAATAAAACTGTGGTCATGTAAGTGTTATTTGAATGCAGGGGAAAAGCTATTTGTCATACAAACCCCATGACTGATAGAGTTAATATTGTTCAGAAAATACATTACGTGCTTTTCCATCCATCTGTTTTTATCTGCATTTTCTATATGCGAATAAAAAAACCTGCGTGGAAAACCCAGAAGTTCAGTCAAACTTTTAAGCTTTCCTAAGGTGAAATATTTTTTATATTGATAAAAGCAAAACACAATGGAAGCAGTTTAAGTGATCAAAATGATTAAACACATCAAGCATGTGACTCGAACGTCCAATGACGCTTCAGCTCAACTAAAGAGAGTGAAAACATATATGAACAGTCTCCTCAACGCTCCATACATCTCTGATGTTCCGCACTTATAATATATGAATGCATGGAACAAACAGAAATGTCATGTTTCAATACAGTTTTTTAGCATTGCTTTTCAATATTTTATTTGACTGGTGCTCTTTTAGGTACGTATTCTTGTTGTGCTGTCTTCTTCCAAAATAGAGTGGTGCAGGAATGAGTTCCAAATCCCGTTAAAGAGTCAGCATTTACTGCTGCTGGTTCCCTCGTCTTGAAGTCAATGGTTATTTTAACTTGTTTTGATTGGATGTCTGAAATAAAGTCTGAGGTTAACACAAGCATAAAATAATTGTACGTTTTGTTCTACGACATAATATACGTCAGTAAATACCCCACTACTTGAAAGTGTTATGCTTCTATGTGTCATAGGACAGCAGTTGCTAAATGAGACAACTAAACTTCATCCCGCCAAACACGAGTCTGCATTTAGCTTAGCGGTGGTGAAATGAAGTCATTTACTTCTGGTGATTGCATTCACGCTTCAAAAATCATAGAGTGGTGTTAATATGTGGAGATTATCCTGATTAACAAAATGTGTGATATCATAAACATTTGCCAAATATCTTGTTTTCTGCAATATTCCAAAATCCACATTGCTTTTGTCAGGGGAGCACTTTGCTATGCTAACTTCCTAGCCCCATTAACAATAAGTCATCACTGCACAGCTCTAGGATCTAATGGTTTTCCAACTAGGTATCAAATGTTCCTGGTCACACCTCAGCTAAAAACTCTGCACATTAATGTGAAACCATAGGATGGCGTTCATTCTAACCTTGCGTAACATTTCCCAAATATTAGCCAAAATCGTTTGGTTAAAATCAGGCAAGTTCAGGTTCATGTCCAAACTCATGTCAGAGTCCTGATGAAATGCTATAATTTTTGTCAGACATCTGGATGTGTCTGAATGTGTTCTTGGTCTGGTCTGGTTTAAATACACTTTAACACATGTGGCCACTTCCCTAAAGCTTTAAAAAAGTTGATACAAAGTCGTTTTTAGGGCCTTTCTAAAACAAATCTGCCCGACAACCCATTGTGTTTGTCAACTAGTACGACGGCCCCACCTAACTAATGTACTTACTGTAAGTTGCACTATTTAATGTCTTGGATTTCCATACTGCTTTACTTGTGTGATTTTCATTTTAATACATATTTAATGAGCATTGTTGGAGGGAGCCATGATTTTCATTGCCAACGACTGCTTCACTGAAACTGTTGTGCATATGATAATGAGTTCCCAATCAAAATGTGTGCATGATGGCATTAACAAGAACATTACCATACTTTTTAATAGCAGACGTACATGCAACGACCCATGATCAGATTTTGTTATTAAGATAACTAAGATACAGATTGCATGTTTATACCAGATGTAAATGGGTATCGCTCATTCTGTTCGCCTGGATTTGATTCCCAACTCTTCACTCGAACAAACCCAGACAAATTTGCAACATCTTGGAAAACTTTACCTTGATTCTCTGCAGATAAACAGCTAAGCCAATTCCATTGTACTTTTGTACCGTAAAGAGCATCACATATATCGGGGCTTAATCTTACCTTGCTACCTGGACACTTCCTTGCTTGCTAACCCCGTTTTTCTGTTGTCTTTCATCTCTCCTCTCCTATCATATCTTGTCATATCTTCCTCTCCTCTCCTCTTCTTGGCAGTTTTTTGGGGCTCAGAGATAAGATCTCTTTGGGAGTCATCTTAAAGATCCCCACTGTCACTTCAGCTTAATGCAGCCCTCTAGGCTCTCAGTGCAAACACACACACACACACACACACACACACACACACACACACACACACACACACACACACACACACACACACACACACACACACACACACACACACACACACACACACACACACACACACACACACACACACACACACACACACACACACACACAGCCCCAGATGTGTCCCATGCTCAGGTCTGTTTCCCCCAGAACAGAGAAACAGACCAAACTAAACGAACAGAAAGGTGGGGAAAGGCCTCCCACTAATAATAGGGGCAGGGAGAGGCAGACTGGATTCGAGGACTCGTAAACACACTTCTTTCTCCCAACAATTCTCTTTGATCTTTATCAAACAAAACACTTTCCTTGGTGTATTTTATGCTTCCATCTCTCAACTTGAACATGCTGCAATGCACTTTTCCCACTTCGATTTCCCCACCCATAAATAAAATGAGAGCACATTTGGATTTCCTGACTGTGGGCTTTCAGTAGGCCGATCACTGCCACGTCTGTCAGATCCATTAATTCAGAAGTGTGCGAGCAAGTTCTGGTTAACCGTTTCTTGGGGCAACATGTTTACATCTTGAAACACTTCATTTGCATATCTAATTAAATGTGGTTTATTTTTAGCAACGTGCCGGGATTCTAGACAGGCATTACTTGTATTTTTGAAGGGTTTAAATGGATTACCAGAGCTCATTTTTCACCCCAAACAGCACCCAGCAAAACTTCCCTCTGCAAAGCCATGCAGTGCTACTCTGGGTGTTTAACTAAGAATGAGTTCAAGCTTCCCTGTTAAGGGTTCCCACTTCCTGTGTTTGCAGAAAAATAAATAAAAATCATGTCCTTCAGTTTCTGGATCCCATGGTCCATAATGATCTGATCTCTGTCTCCCATAGGCGGGCCGTTGCTATAGCAACCTGATGACGCTTGGAGGGAGAAAAGAGAGGGAGGTGCAGGGAGATGAGGAAGAAGGTAGCTGCACCAAAGATCAGGTACGTTTGAGAAGATGACTCACTCGATTCAAAATACAAGAGCTGTATGCCATTGCTCACATTTGCAGTCTTATTTTTTTCACACATAAATGCTTAATGTTTGGAAACATTTTTGAAAGTGGAAGAGGAGGGACAATATGTGTGTGTATGAGTGGAGGGACCTGAGATGGATTTGCACACACAATATAAAGGAAGAGGTTTGACTAGGCCCTGACATACGCAGACAACGTGAAAATAGTGCTTTATTATCTGAACAAATCAGGTCTTACAGGCGTGATCATATGCAGAGGGCATGTCCCCTCCATCCTCCGTCCTGTAATGGCTCCTGCACCCTTGCAGGGCTCTCTGTCTCAGCTACTGCCCTGCTGTTGCCATAGCGACCACTCTGGTATAGACTCAAAACAACTTACTGATGAAAACCTACATTTTACCTTTTGGATGTTAACTGCTCTAAATGAGCCGTAGATGGGGTTGAACAGCAGTTATCCATGGCACTGCTCATTTATCTATCTGTTTCTGCAGATGGCCTGCAAATATGTGCCTGTATGCATTTTGCTAATTATGTTTGTGGTGTCTGGAAAGTTATATGCTTCTGATGTTTATTTTTCCTGCACTGACACAACAATTATTACACATAAGGCCAACGCTTTTTGTGTGATTTTATTCATTTATTCTCTTAATTGCCTATATTGTATTGTATGATGTTGGTGTGTTTTTGTGTGTGTGTGTGTGTGTGTGTGTGTATACTCCAAAACAGACTTTGTTGAAGACAAGTCTCTTCTTCAAATATTTTGTAGTCTATTATTTCTAAATATGAAATGAACAGGCCCTTTTTTTCAATTCAATTCAATTCTAAATTGTATAGCCATGTTAACAGTATTGTGTAATGTATTTATTCTAATTATAATATATGTAAAGCTTTTTGGTAAAATAAGATTATAGGAAAAAAATCAAAGATGCAAAATAAGCCAAAAAAATGTGTGCATCGTGTTGTCAAAACTATAGACGATCTTTGTTTATACCTTCCGTACACAATGGCATTCTTTCAGTGAACGTGACCGGCGCTAGGACCCGGGGCGGGCTCCGGGGGAAGTCCTCTCTCTGCTGCTGGCGGGGCAAGGCAGAGCACAGAAACACACACATCCCCGCACACAAGCATACACAAACACGCATTCACACACACTCTGCGAGCTCTTCTCCGACAGAGGGGAGAGAGGGGATAAACAGAGGGAGAGACTATAGGAACGCAGCGGCTCGTGTGTGTGTGCGCGTGTGTGTTTGTGTGTGAAGGTACGCTCGCTCGGTGGTAGAAACGACTGGCGGGGCGGATATGGAGGGGCTCGGGAGAAACGCTGGGAACTGACCGAGAACCGAGACGAAAAATAGGGAAAGAAAGAAGAGAGAAAAGAGGACGGACGGACGGACAGTACGGAAAGAAGGAAGGAAGGACGGAAGGAGAGGAGGAGAGAAGTCTGACAGAGGAGAGGAAGACTGTGAAGAAGGGGCTCGTCTGGCTGTTCTGGAACACAGAAAGATCCTAAGGTGACTTTATGGGTCTTTCTTGGCTGTATCGTATGCAGGGTCTGGAGAAGGTGTGTGTGCGGGGTGTTGACATGTGCTGCTTGGCTCTGCACTTAAAGGGGAGCGTGGAGGTGTGTGTCTGTGTGAGGGGTGGGCAAAAATGTGTGTGGCTAAGTGTCTGTTTAGCCTAAATATACATTTGTGAGAGTTTTTCGGGTTGTTTTTCCACCAGCTATAAAGGGGACCAAAGTGTGTAAGCGAGCCGAGCTGACCGCTGGGAACTGGAGTGAAGGGATCTAAAGGAGTAGATACTTTTTAAGGAACACACTGATCCCATTCCAGCACACACTTCTTAGGTAGGCTACTTGAAGTTAAGTCCCATTTTTCCTCCACTGTGTGTGTGTGAGCAGAGTTTTCTGACACACAGTTTCTGGTTGGAGGTTGCTTCAGCAGCACAGAGTGGATTTTCTGTGTTCCTGGTTGACACTGAATGAGGCTTGATACGTAGTAGCAGCTTCTTGTGTGTGTGATATATGTGTGTAAGGGTGCGCGTGCATGTGTGCCATATACGGCAAACAGGTTGAGGGGAGGCAGATCTGATCAGACGCACAGCAACAGAGGAGAGAGCGTGGCACAGGCTGAGCAGCAGCACATTGGATTACACACAGACGACTACACACACACACACACACACACACACACACACACACACACACACACACTCACACACACAAACTCTGTGGCCAGCATAACAGCTGGGAGAAATGTGTGTGTCAGTGCCTGAGAGCCTTTCACTTAATGCATGCGGCGGCCTTTGCACGTGCAGGACTGTTTGCTTCTATATTATCTTTTGCTCCTGTGTGTGTGTGTGTGTGTGTGTGTCTAAAAAATGTGTGTGTAGCCATCTGAGGCTGTGTAAATATGTATGTATGTGCAGGAAAATGTTCTGTCGTCTCTTCAGACAGACGGCGTGTGTGTCTACCTCTGCCCTCCCCCCTTTCCTCTCCCCTTCCTCCTGGTCTGGAGATGAAGAAGGGTTAATAAAGGGGGGAGGCTGTAGGGAGGAAGAGCGATCAGATGACGGAGAATAAGGCAGATGAGGAGATTAATCCAGTAGCGAGGGATGAAACCGATACGGAAGAGAGGAAGATGGAGGTTTTTAGGACAGGAAGGAGGAGGAGAGATGGGAGGAAAGTGGAGGAGACGGGGGGCTGACATGCTCTCTCCAGGAGCGCTCAGAGTGCTGCTCATTCATAATTCACCTCCATGCCAAACGTTCATTCACATATTGACCCCCCATGGCTGCACTCAATGGAGTTCTCGCCCCTCCACCTCTCCCTGTCTCTCAATGGACACCCCTGTGGTGTGGCGTTCAGTTAGCCCGCTTCTTTTTCACTTTGGAGACAGTTGTGATTCTCCGAAGACCCCGCTCTGTTTTTGTCCGGCCCTTTTAGACGCCACTTCTTATCCCAGCTTTGAGGCTCTGATGTGAGATTGAATTGTGTAAATTGAATATTGAATTCAGACTCCACCCTGGACACAGATAATTGGTATGGATGGCTCAGTGGGTTAGTGCGCTCAGAACAACTGTTGTTAGTCGGATTCCCTGAACACAACCCAAACAGTCCATAATGGATCTATAATTCATGTGTGAATGCATTGAACAGTCTGTGTTTTGAATAAAAGCACAGACGCCAGCGCATGATTTATTCAGCGTAAATACTCTAAAGCGGCTCTTTTTAAATTGTTCTGATTGTATTAGCCGTGCCTGGAGCTACACGATGACCCACTGCTGTGCTTTGGTCAGCTGTGGCCCCAGGAGCCATATGGCAGAAAATGCACAGTCAGGAAAAAAAACCTCCAGGCTTCATGTAGTTCTAAGAAGTAAACACTACAGAAGTGCACCTTATCGGCAAAAGAGATACAAATATCTTGACTTTTTTTCCTTTTATAGGCAAACACCTACGCTTTGTCCTTTATGGATTGTTTACTCACTGAAAAGAGGACAAAGAGTTTTGACATTGTATCTTGGCATGTCACTGCTAAAAGCTTCATCGTGTTGTTCATTTTGTATATATGGTCAAATAGTTCAATAAGTTGTTTACCAAAGCTGCAGCAATGTCAAGATGCATCCACTGATGTCATTCATAGTACCTCATGGTGCTGCCGATAATGTTGCCATGGGTTTATTTCCCATGTTGAAGGCCACTAAATATAGATAACTCATTTGAAAGTCTTGTCTAACTTTTCATTTTTTCCCTCCATCACATTTCTAATTGGTATTACAGTTAGTGCTGCTGGTAGCTGTGACAAATATAGCAATTTGTTTGGACTTATTTAGACTATCTACTTTTATTTTTTTAAGTAGTGTACAAAACGGCACAGGGGATGACCGTTTGTTTTACATCTAACCATATCCACTACTGGGGATTTGGTAACTGGTCAATGCTACCAATTGCTACAAGGAAAAACAATAATATAACCTCTTCCTGTTTAGCTTGAGCAATGGTTGGCGCACTTCCTTCGTACCGTAAATCAAGCCTTAATTTTCCCGAGATATCGTACATTATGTCCGACAGAATTGCGAAGATAGGTCATGTCTTAAAGAAAAACGCTAATGGTGTCATTACTCTACAGCGCTGAACATTTACTTCATAATGATAAGTTAAATAAAGACTACAAAGCTCTGATAGGTGGACCGAACAACAACAGACCTTTTTGAATTTATGAACCAATCAGGAGGTCCGGAACCAGTCTACCAATAATAGTGATTCAGCAATAAACATGCTATCTGGTTAGCTCGTTAGCGGTAGTTTGCGCATGGTTACCCCATGTGACCCTTACTTTGTAGGTCATGCTTTGTAAGTCAGGGGTTTAGGAGATGCAACAACTGCTGCAATTGAACCAATGCCGTTGCGGTTCTATGCATCTTACCCACTAAGGTCGCATTCACACCTAATAGTCCGCTTCACTGGTGCGCACCAGACGACAGTTTGTTACATTGTTTAATTTTTCAGATGGTTCGGTTTGCGTTCACAGGCAAAATTCAAACGGACTATAAACTTTAAACACAAGTCATGTGCTCGGAAATGCTGTTCAACAATTGGTCAGACATTAAGGGGTAAGAACGTAAATCCCGGCAATTTCTGCCGGAGCCTCCGCCATGGAGCATCGGCAGGTTATTTTCATGCTGTTGTTAATCTGGAGAGCATATCAACAGATTCTAGCAACGGCGCATATGATTATATAATCAGACAACGTGCGATACAAAACATTATAACACATATAATGAGAGACGTTCTGCAGTAAGGAGGGGGTTTCACCGACGGCAGGTGGCTCTGACTTTTATGTATAGTTTTTAGTTTGATAGTTGTTTTTACTTTACACGACACTGTTCAACACTTCATTCTGCTTCACTCTTTCGCTAACGATTCTGAAGACACCCGCGTTCTTGTGACACGTAAATACTACGCTTCCTATGTTTTGGTGCGGACTGCGTTCACACCAGCGATGAACCGCTCCAGAGTTCACAAGCAAGCGGTCCGAGACCACCTCTTTTAGGCAGACGAGAGTCCGGTTGTTTAGTTCACTTCAGAGGTCTCGGACTGCGTTCACACCGACCCAAACTAACCGCACCAAGCGGCTAAACGCACCAGGGTTTGATTCAACCGGACTATAAAAGGCTGGTGTGAATGCGACCTAAGACTCCAGGAGGCTTTTTTTTATTTGTGACATTTCTTTTAACAGCTAATGCATCTCAACCAAATTATCCCGAATCAAATTGTTTTAACTATGGCTCTAAAATGTGCAATATGTAACGCCTTCGTGAGCTGCATTAAGGGACCATCAACGCCCTAACATACCCATTTGCTCACTTTTTAAATTAAGTGTGACCTGTGTTGACTTTCTAAACATTTACAGTAAGCTGAACTGACATTTGAAGAATAGGCAACACCAATAGACTATGATGTCTTTAGGGTTAGGGTTACTTACTAGCTGTAACAGAGAGTGACTTTTGGACCCACTTTGTTTCACTATAAAACAGATCATGCTGTTTTATACATTTTGTGCCACTTTCTGTTTCGTTTCCCAAAGTTAGACAAGTGGATTACTGAGTTTGCAGTAGTTAATTATTTATTTTCCATCTTTTCTTAGATGACCTTTGCCTTTCATGTGCTGGTTCATATGTTAAAACAACCGAAGAATTAAAAGCGAGGTTTTAAATAGCAGTGAAAACACAGCCAGCCTGAGTGGCCAAAATGGCTTAGAAGAATAATGCTCTTCTGAATCCCCCAGGTTATAATTGTCTTCAATAGGCCTCCTGCTGATTCAGAATGGATTCATTGTCCACAGTGATGGGCACCTCAGCTCAATTAGCCTCTCTGTACTGATTCATGCTGAGCTATTGCTGCGCGCATTCTCACACGTGCACACAAATACACATACAGAGTAGCAATATGGAAAGACGTCAGCCTGTGTAAAAATAGACTTCATAAACGGAGGGGAAAAGGGTTTTTTATTTACAAGGAGTGATGTCATGTTTGGTTTAGGTCCATAGCTGACGAATGGGAGGGCAGCTGTGTTGAGTATTAGCCTTTTTTTTTTTTTACTTTGGCGTGGCTATCTGTACATTTCAAAGGAGTTCAAGGAGTTGCTGTTTCTGCGCGTCTCCGTCTTTGTGTGTTGTCTTCAGCGGTGGAGGCATGCACACGGTGACGCCGCTCTGGTTGCCGAGCAACACAGGAACGTGGGTGGAAGGATTTCCTGTCCTTAGGAAGCTTTGTTTATAAGTAGAGGGGTGGAGAGAGGCTGTATGTATATGCATGTGTGTGTGTGTAGATTTCAGTGCAGTGTGCTTGAGTGCTTGTGTGTTTTTAATGCACTCCTCGCCTCAAGTAAAAGTGCGAGCGGAAAGTCACTTAACACACACACTGTGTATACACTGTACACACACGGAGAAAAGGCAAAAAAAAGGCCCTTTCTAGTCTGTTGAGTTTGATTTGTGTTGCATAACTCCTCTG